GTGCTGGCCAGGGAGGGTCGGGTGGTGGGGGTGCTTCCTCCTGGTGTAGGAGGGGCCACTTCGGCTTCCTTTCTGGGGCCCCACACACCTTGGCCTGCCTCTCTCTGGGCTGGGGTGGCCGTGGACCTGCTGACCTGCTGACCCAGCCCGGCGCCTCGGGACCGCAGTGGGGTGGGCGGGGGAGCCCGGTGCGCCCGCCGGACCCCTGTCTCCTGACCCGCCCAGCGCTTGTGGTGCGGCTCCTCCATGAGCACAGCTTGGGGGGGAAGAGGAGAAGCAGTTGAAAGCTGCCCGCGCTCTGCTCCGGTGAAGAGCAAGCCCCCCAGGACGGAGCCTGCACACGCCCTCTGTCACTTATTTTCCTAAAAATCAAAACAGACAAAAGGAAGAAATGTACTAATTTTTATTTGAAAGGTGAGTGACGTAGATAGGAGAGCGCTTCCACACACAGTTCACTCCCCACGTAGCCAGGACTGGGCAGGGAGCCGGGGCTCCTGGGCGCCCCGTCGGGGGCAGGGGTCCCGCCACCTGCCTCCCAGGCTGCACAGGAAGCAGAGTGGCCGGATGGGGACCAGCCCGCCCAGCCTGCTGAGGCCTCGCACCTGCGGGGCTCCACTTCACTGTCAGGCGTGATTGAACATCTTTGTCGCAAATGCGTTTTGTGAACGTGCATGTGCACAGGCAGCCTGGCCCACAATGCAGACATGCCGTCTCCCCAGCAGGGTGCTGCGTGCAGGGAGGGCGAGCTGGCAGGCGCTGGGTCACGCGGGGGCCGCACCCGATAGGGCCTCGCTGGTGAACTGCGCCTGCCGCTGTCAAGCTCCAAAGCACTTGCTCTGGCAATCTGGGGAGAGGCTGCTGAGGGCACCGGCATGTTCTCTGTTGCCAGGGGTAGATGCCCTCACCTCAGGTGTGGGATCTGGGGTGGGCTGTGTCCTACACATCCTGCAGGCACTGGATCACGCTCTGCCAAGCAGCCTGGTAGGCGTCTGAGTAGTTCCAGGTAACTAGGCTACCATCACACACACACTCTCTCTCTCTCTCTCTCTCTCTCTCTCTCTCTCTCTCTCTCTCTCTCTCTCTCAGGCCATGGCCTCCGCGTGCTCGCCCACGCATACTCCCTGGCTTCTCTTACCACCCTGTTCCTGAACTCCTGCCCAGCTGACGGTACCAGGTTTAGGCTGTCAGCAGAACACCGTGACCCTTCCCTGTGTGGACTCTCCTCTCCTGTCCTGGGAATGACTTGGGGAACGAGGTCACAACAGAGTGAAGCCTTTCTCTGCCGTGCTCGTCAGCCGGCCGCTCTCACACCCTGGTACACGTGGCTTTCCCTGGACAGCAGTGTGAGACGGTGCTGTGGGGAGAAGGGTGCCCACAGCTGGGCCCTGGCCCTGCCGCCCCTATAGGAAGCATGCTGCCAGCCATCACACTGCCGCACATGCACACCGCCTGCCTGGGTTCTGTGAAGTCCTGACGCTGCACCCCATGGGGGCAAGGGGACAGGTTTTTGTTTTTCAGAAGCAGATTTTGGGGAGGGGAGAGATCCCCATCAGCCCACTTACTCCTCAGATGACCACCTGTAGGCCAAGCCATACCTCTTGCCCTGGTCTGCATATGGCCAAGCTGGCACCCTGATAGGATGGGGGTGCTAAACTTGCTGTGCCAGAATGCTGCCCCCTAAAATTGTTTACCAAAGCTCTTTCCACTCATACTAGCAGAGCCAGCCACGCTGGGCCAAGGGCTTCCCCCATCTGCTCCCTGGTGGTGCAGACCTTGGGGGGGGGCATGCTGCTCCCAGCAATATGTTCTGAGCTGAACAGAGGGTGCACTCACCCCATTCTCCAGGCAGGGCAGGGCTGCAAGTGGTGCCCAGCGTGGTCCAGGTCTGTCCTGGTGCCGCACCCACGAGCAGCATGTGCAATCCAGCCCACTCTTGCCTCGGGCTGGCCTCCTCTCTAAGGGGTCTGTTCCAAGAGGGGGCGCTCCCAGGACTGCAGAGCTCACTGGATCCTCACCTCATGTGCCTGGTGTATCCTGTTGTCCACCTTCCCAACCTGGCCCCAAGTGGAGACAAGCAGGGAGGGCTGCCTGCCTAGAGCAGGGGGCACTGGTGGCCAGCAGAGAGCAGGGCTGTGGACAGCAGGTTCCACTCATGTCCATGACTTCAGTTGATGGCACCTGTATTCTGTGTTGGGGGGCGGGGAGAAGGGCCTATGGGACACCTGAGCTCCAGGAGCATCTCGGCAACAGGAGGCTTCAGAGTTGGGGCTACTGAGGGGAGGACAGAGAAGGTGGGTGTGTCCTGCCTGGGTGCAGACAGAACCATGACTCGGTCTGCAGTGGCCGCTGTGCTGTGCTCTGTGTGTGTGTGTGTGGGGGGGGGGGGGGTGTGCAGCAGGTAAGGACTGCCTGCACGACCCTTAACACAGGCCAGGGGTCCAGGAGTTCAACTACTTAACACCCTCCAGTGGCCTGTGCTGGGCCCCAGCTGGGAGTGAGGCCTGGCGCCCCACCCAACCCCAGAGGAACTCCCAGTCAGATGGCAGAGGCAGCGGGGGCGTCAGGAAGTTATGGCCTAGCCCGATAAGCTCTGTGTGGAGGGAGAGGCAGAGGGCTGGCACTGAGATGGGGTGGTCGGGGGTGGTGTCTGCGTCAGGCAGGGGCTGGGCCTCAGCCTGGGGAGGGCTGTATGCAGCTGCCCATCCTGAGTGTGAGCAGTTCATCAGGCCTGCGGTTGGGACCCTGTGTTGGCCTCTGAGATGCCTTTTCCATCAACCAGCTGTTTCTATCATCCAAGTCCCTGTTACCTGGCGACGCATCTGCTGTGCGAATAGGGAGCCCCGGTAGCAAGCCATGGCCCTCTGTCATGACCCCATGGCTGAGCCTGGCCCTGTGTGGGAGGATGGGCCATGCCCTTGTTTCACTAAGCCTCTCCTCCCAGAGGGTGCCTGGAGTGAGTGCCACAGGGCAGTGCCCACAGCTTCTGTGCGCTTTCTGCTCTCAGCCCTTCCCGTTCCTGTGGAGACATGAGCCCATGAGTGCTTTGCTCCAGAGGCCATGCTGGGGTGTGTGTGGGGGACAGATCATGTGCCCCTTGAGTTCAGCACTTGGAGCTGCTGGTTGTGTCCCATGGTGAAGGTCCCCTGGACACAAGGTACTGACACTGCATCTTCCTGGTGTCTGCAGTGCACTGCATGAAATGTGTCACCTAGCAACAGCATTCATGCATTTCTCTCTCCAGGCTCTGGGCTGGGTGGGGGACTTGGCGATTGGGGACTGGATTTGGGCACCTGGGGGCCTCTGCCCAGGTCTGTGTTAGGGCGGCCGTTAGCACGACCTAAAGTCAAAGGGAAGGGATATAGGTTGGGCCAGCTGGTGTGACAGGGAAGCCAGGCCATGGCTGAGTGAGGTTGGGGTGCAGCTGTAGGAACCAACCTCCTTCCAAAGCAGCACAAGGACAGACCCAGAGCCCACGGTGCTCCTGCCCTCGTTCCCTGGGGAGGGGCTCCTCAGTCACGGTGTGGGGGAGTGAGAAAGTGGCTGTTGTGGGGCTATCCCTGACACTGGGCCACCCAGTTACCATGGCAACCCTGGAGTCAGGGAGTGCAGAGTTAGGCAGGAAGTGGTAGAGGCAGGGTGGGCCCTCCCCCTAAGGGTGAGAGAACTATAAAGGCTGGGGAAGGCAGCTGGCAGCGGTACAAATCCTGTCGCTGGGCCAGTGTCAGCTTCCTGGCAGCCACAGCAAAGCAATGGATCGGTCCCACTAGCCACGACTCTCAGGATGTGGGCACCTCACACCAGATGCCTGAAGCCACCTGGCGACTCCAGGCCCGATTCTTCAGAGTGAGTTGGGAGCACAGCCCTTGTGCCTCAGTCAGGCGGGGAGCACAGGCGATCCAGTCCCCAACTCGGCCTGCAGCTGCCGGCTTTCCTCTTCACCCATCTGCCACCAGTAGCTCAACCAGATTGGCCCTCACGGGATCCCTTCACCTGGGTACGCCAGGGCCACCCACCACTAAGCAGCTCAGGAACTGACCTACCAGCTCTGCTCCCTGCCAGGTTGGGCCTCAGACTGTGGCCCTGCTGAACCCCTTGCAGGGGCTGCCACAAGGTGGCAGGGAAGCAGCAGGGGCAGCCCGGGCTGACCTGCCAGACTGAGAGGAATCGGTGCTGCTGCTGGCTCAGCAGTTCCTCAGCTGCAGAGGGAGGAGCTGGCACAGAGGGGCCCCAGTCAGAGTGAAACCAGTGGCTTTGCTGGTTAATCTCAGCACTCAACACTGGGGTCTCGGCCAGGAGCGGAACTGAAAAGGAGCCCAGGCCTGACAGACTTCCTGGCGGGGATCCTGCTGGGGGTGGGAAGGAGCCATGTGAACCTTACCCACTTTGCAGGCAGAAAATCGACAAACGGACAGCTGGGAGGACTGGGCAGAGGCCGGGGGCTGAGGGAATGTGGGCCCAGGTCTGGTCCATCAGCCCCAGCCAGACTTCCCAGGCCATGATGCTTCTCTCTCAGGCCCAAGGCAAAATGGAGCGGCAGCTGAGGCCTGACCCACTGCCCTGCAGCAGAGGTGGCAGGTACAGTGTCTCAAACGCCACATGAGCACCTCGGGGCTCCTTGTCCTCCCACCCAGCCTCCTGCTGGCTTGTGAGGGGCTTTGCCATTTTGACCAGGAGTGCCCAGCCAGCTCTTGGTCCTTGAGCTGCTGGCAGACAGGGCCATGGCAGCAGCCATCTCCTAACCCTGGGCAGATGGTCTTATCGGCCTTTTCTCGAAAGGGAAGGAAGGGGGAATCTCCCTTCTGAGAAAGCACCTACTCATTGCCCGCTGGGGGCTTCAGGGCCAGGAGGCCCCAGCAGGTGTCCTGGTGAAGAGGGGGCCGAGTGGACCCAGTTCCAATTTGGAAGCATGGAGCTGCCTTCTGCGGTGGCAGTGTGGCAGCTGTATGCTGCAGTGACAGTTCCACTGGGGACTGTCCTGAGTGCCCCTCCTGGTCTCCTAGAGCTCCAAGCCCAAGCTGCAGGCCGCCTGCTCCAGCATCCAGGATGTGCGGCGGTGCACGCGCCTGGAGATGCCTGATAACCTCCACACCTTCGTGCTCAAGGTGGGTCACAGAGCATGGTAGCCCTGGGCCTGCGCTGCTGCGCCTGCGGCCCACACAGTGGTTCCCTTCCCCTGCCAGGTGAAGGAGCGGACTGACATCATCTTTGAGGTGGGGGACGAGCAGCAGCTGAACTCCTGGTTGGCTGAGCTCCGGGAGTGCACAGGCCGAGGGTGAGGCCCTGCCCCATTCCCCCTTCAACCAACACGGCCTCTCGTGGTCTCCCAGTGACCTCACATAGCCTCTTCTCCAACAGGCTGGAGCGCAGCGACTCGGAGCCACACATCCCCTCCCCTCCGGAGCCCAACGCGCCCAGCTCCCCCCAGGCAAGCACAGATGCCCTTAACCAAGGTGAGTGGAGCCAGGCCCTTGTCCTCATCACTGGAACCCGCCCCTGTCCGGTTCCCACAGCACCCAAAAGGGGTCACCCCATTTTTCCGAGCAGGTGCTTCTCCTGGGGGCCTGCTGGACCCAGCCTGCCAGAAGACAGACCACTTCCTGTCCTGCTATCCCTGGTTCCACGGCCCCATCTCCAGAGTGAAGGCTGCCCAGCTGGTGCAGCTACAGGGCCCTGATGCTCACGGAGTGTTCCTGGTGCGGCAGAGCGAGTCCAGGCGTGGGGAGTATGTGCTCACGTTCAACTTCCAGGGCAGAGCCAAGGTAGGGCAGGGCAGGGGGGCCCTGCCACCCTTTCCACTGGGGCCTGGGACGCCAGGGGCATCCCGAGTCTGCTGGCACCTTCTCCTACAGCATCTGCGCCTGTCGCTGACGGAACACGGCCAGTGTCGTGTGCAGCATCTCCGCTTTCCCTCCGTCGTGGACATGTTGCACCACTTCCAGCGGTCCCCCATCCCACTTGAGTGCGGCGCTGCCTGTGACGTCCGGCTCTCCAGTTATGTGGTGGTCGTCTCCCAGCCCCCAGGTTAGACCACCAGGCCCTGAGCTCGGTGGGGATGACCCAGGTAGACCAGGCGGTGGGAGAAAAGCTGGAGGCAGAGAGCTTGGTGTGTGGGGCCAGCACATGCAGACACCTGACTGTGCTATTTGCTTGTCCTAGGCTCCTGCAACACAGTCCTGTTCCCGTTCGCCCTCCCTCACTGGGATTCAGAGCTAGGCCTTTCCCATCTGAGCGCCTCCAGCTGGCCCCAGGGGCTCAGCCCCGAAGGGCCCCCAGGCCAAGCGTCACCCCCAGAGCAGATCTTCCACTTGGTGCCTTCGCCCCAGGAACTGGCCGCCAGCCTGCGGCGCCTGGAGTCAGAGTCTGGGAGTCGAGCCCGGGACTCGGACTATGAGATGGATGCCTCCCCCCGGAGCCACCTGCGGGCTATAGACAACCAGTACACACCTTTGTGACCCGCGGGCCAGGGCTGCTGCACCCAGCACACGCCGACACGTGGACTGTGAATGGAACAGGCTTTCCTTCCTGCCAGGGGGCGCGTGGAGGGGCACTGGTGCTGCCGCCTATGTCCAGGGTAGCTCTAGCAGGCCTGTTAAAGGGCCTCTAGGAAGCTCCCAGCACCTGCCCCCCGGGACCTGCCCATCGCTCCTGGCAGAAGTGGCCGTGGAGGGCCTCAGTGAGCAGTGGGGGCCTGTTGACACTGTCACAGCCGACAGACTTTCTGCTGTTGGGGAAGCCCAAAACACTAACACGCCCTGGTTCTCTCACTTCCCCCACTGCAGCCCATGCCTGGTCACAGGTCCTGTCTGGGCAGCCATGCCTAATCCTGCTCCTATTCTCAGCTTCAGGACAAGGTCAAAAATGATTTGAAACATTTTACCTCAGATTAGTTTTCTAAAAGATTCAGGTTTCACAGCTCAACCTTTGCTTATTACTTCATTGCACTGTCCCAACTTGAAGGCAGCCCTGTGGCTCTGTGGTCAGACACAGCTATGCAAAACCTGGGCTAGTGCCGGCTTCCTGTCTGCGGCCAAGCTACCAAGCATGCCACCCTTCCAGGGAACGCTAGGCAAGGAAGAGCGCCCCATCCCCGGTGCCTTATATCTAACCCACTGGGTTCTTGGTCACGGCAGTTTAAATGGGCAAAAGGAGAGTTGTCCTGGCCCTTTCTCCTAAACCCCTTACCAACCGGGTGGGCTCAGGCCCATCCCAGTCTCCTGCCTTATCAAGGACATTGAATATATTACCGTACTAGGAGTCTCAGGCTCCTGTTTGACTCCAAATGGAAGCCAGGAAACTGGTGCTGTAAGCAGAGCACCCCTACACCAGGGCTGCACCTCAACTTGCCTTTTGTCAGTGCTGTGAGCTGTGGCTTGCCTGGGCTGTCGGGCCCCAGAGGGCTAGTCGGCAGTGGCTTCCAGAAGGCAGGTGTGTGCCGTTTTGCAGTGTGCTCACAGCAGTGCCGGCTGCCTTCCCTAGGGGGAGGGTTTGCAGTGCCCCTTTTAATGAACACTCTACTCCACCGGGGTAGCCTCTTCTGGAATATTCTAGCGGGTGGGGAGGCTGCCATCCCTCCTACGGATCCCCTGGACCATAAACCAGAGCTAACGTGGAAGGAGAGAGGGGGAGCAGCATTCCACATTTGTCTTAACACAAAGTTCCTCTGAGCTCGTGTCAGACCCAGCATTCCATCCTTCCAGCCAGAAAGCCGAGTGTCTGGCAAACACTTGCTCCAAACCAGGGCTTTCCACTCTCGGTAGCCCGCCTCTCACACCAGGCACAGCGAGCCTAGCTTCCGCCCGGCCGCAGAGAGCCTTGACAGCCCCGGAAGTCGCTCCCCCTCCCTCTTCCGCTGCCCTCTTAGGAATGTGCTGTCCAGGTTTCCCAGGGCAGCTCCGGCACATCCTGACAAAGCCCCCTTTCCTGGCACTGGAACAAAGCGACACTAAGCCAATGCCTTTCCTTTGCTAGAGCTGCAAGAAAGGGAGGCCCTGGGCCAAACAGCCTTGTGGCTCGGGCGAGCAGCCCGCCGCGTCTCAGGCCTGCCATACCTCACGCCACTGAAGGTGGCCGGCTGCTGGCGGTGTGACAAGGCTAAGCCAGCTCCGAACCATCACCTGGACAGAGACCTCGCCCCACCCATCAGCTCTAGTCACCAACCGCCAGCACTGTGCCCCAGCCCCTCACTCCCTCTGACTATCGAGTTCTAGCCACCAGCACCGAAGAATTAAGTCAACTAACCTGCCTTGACTTTTAGACCAGCAATCCACATGGCTTTATCTGGTATAGATCTTCTGCCTTTCACCATTTCTGGACCATGTAGGAGAAAGGAATATCAATCATTAAAATCTTGGGCCAGAGAACACTATTTTCACTTAAGTTTCTTGGCCTAGATCAAGGCTTCAGTTCTCCCAAGGGCTGTGAGCCCTCCGTGCTGTCCATTCCGCAGACACCTCCCCCGACAGCGTCCGGCCCGCTGACCGCGCTGGGCTGGAACGGCGCACAGGGTGCTGCGCGCTCACCATGCTTCATCACAGGCAGAAAGGTATCGGGCAAATGTTTGTGTGTTGTTTATGTACTGTACGAGTAACTTATTCTTAAGTAATGCAGATTTTGCTATGGTGTACACATTGCTGTATGTGGATTAAAAAGTGTTTTCAAACTTGGGCTTTGCTGCTGTCCTGAGGGACCGCCCCTGGAAGGCCCCCCGGCACAGCTTGCCTGCTTCCCCCCAGCTGTGTTTTTTTCCAGCATCTCCTGCCCCCTCGTGGTCACACAAGTCACCTACCACCACCCACCGCGGTGCTCCGGGCCGTGAGGATGCCGCCTTGCGGTGCGGCCCAGCTCGGGCCAGCCTCTTCCTGCTGCAGACTCCGCCACAGGGCTGTCCCGGTCTTGTCTTTCTCTAGAGAGACCTGGGACCAGAACTAAAGGTGAAGAGAAGTCATGGAGCAGTGCCCCGCCAGGCCGCGCTGGCCGCCGGAGCGCTGCACCACGGCTGGCTCACACAGACGCACACTGACTGGGTATCAGTTTTTAAAACTTTTTTTATTTTTAAATTTTTTTTTAAGTTTTTATTTTATATTATCTACAAAGTAAACTTAAAAGTTGAACCACTGAGACAGTGATCACCTCATCAAACTTGATTTTATAAATAATCCGTCAGTTTGACGGTAAGAATTTACTGAAACCTTTTGTCAAGGTTAGTAAAAGGGTATTCCAAGTCTTGATTTTGTTTTAAAGCAGTAATAGCAGCAAGAATCACTCTTGTTACTTCTCTTGCTAGCTGATGTGTTCGTGACTTTCAAGGGCCATTAAAAAATAAATAACTTCCAGTTTCGGCAAGCAGAGCTGGGGCACTTGCGGGACTCGGCAATAGCGCATGGGGTCACGGGACAGCCCACAAGTTCCTACAGCGCCTCTACTCGGTCCACGGATCTCCACTGCAAGTGAATTGTTAGCATTCCTATTGGATGTTACAAGAAATCAACATATATTTTTAAAAACAAAATAAATGAACTTCTAGTTCTCTGTGCTTCCAGTTGGTAGAAGCAGTAGAAGGGAGGAGGGGATTTGGCCTTTGGGTTCCTCCAGGGCAGCTTTACAGCTGCTGTTGGTGGTGAGCTTGTACTGTAAGAAAGAAAAGTGAATATGTCAACAGAAGACTGGCAGCCCGCTGCGCTAGCCGAGTGTCAGCACGTGCCTGCCCTCTCTCCTTTGCTAGCTAGGAGACTCAAAATTTAACTCTCAATTTGTCCCCCTCCCAACCTGTGTCACGTGGGGGAGGGCTGGGGGGGGTGGATAGAAACAAGCCAGTCAGACGTGAAACCACTTCAGATAAGACTCCCAGACGACTAGTTGCTCATGGGGTAAGGAAAAAAGGCCTGAACACGCCCCCTCCCCAAATATTAACCAAACACCAGTTAGACTGTCCATTTCGGCCCTGGCGGCCAGCCAGTACTGCAGCACAACCCCGGGGCACTCTGTCAGGGCGTGGGCTGCAGCGGACCCTGCACTCACAACCAGTCCATACACAGCACTTGCTCATCACTACAATCCAGTCGGCCATGGTAATACCCCCCACTGTCCAACTGTCAGGACTCAGGAAGGAAACACGGCCCTGTCCGGCCTGCCTAACAAGGAAAGCCAACTGCGTCCTAGGCATGCGTCAGCTACCCAGAATGCTGCGGCTCATCATGCCAACTCCCGGACACCATCAAGACACACACAGACTCGGCTCCCGGCAGTCTCAGGCCCGCACACGGACCTGGTGGTCAGTCCCTCCTGTGCACATGTGGACGCTTCTGGCTAGTTCTCAAATGTGAGGCTGAAGCACTGGCCCTGCCTGCCACTCCACCTGTGCGAGCAGAATGCTTGGGGTGCCCCGGCGGCCCCTGCACACACACGCCTCACCTGAAGGGTGCGTCATATAGGGGAAATGCGCTGTTGTCGAGACTGGAATGGGCTGTAGTGCACTTTGAGCGAGGGCGGCCTGGGGACCGCCGGGTGGCTGTGTCGTCATTAGCATCATTGGCGCATGGGCAGTTGGATGAGAAGGAACCATTCCTGACTGTACATGAGCCTGAAACAGAGAGCTCTTTTACGCATACAGGCAACATCTCCGGCTTAAACAACATGTCAACTGTGTTCCTTCCCCTGGGCTGGCACTCTCAGACAAGGGCGGGCAGGCAGCAGGCCCAGCCCCCTTCTCTTCTCGGGGGGTACTCCCTAGCTCACCTTCAGGGAAGATCCTGCCAGGCTAGAGGAGCCTGGGAGAGACATCAGGGCTGACAAGTGGGCTGCTACCAACTGAGCACAGGATTCCAAGGTGTGGGGCGAGATCTCTGACGAGAGGAGACTCCTGATCCGAGAACAGCTTGCTCAGCCAAATGACACAAGATACGTACGATGATGCCTCAGAGCCAGGCATCCGTGGGGGCTCCCAGGAAAGCAGGGGCTGGCAGAGATGCCAGGGTTGGCCCCTCACCCTCTGCTTGTGGCCTGCTTCCCCAAGGCAGGAAAAGGAGACGGAGCTCTGCTCTCTGAGACATGCTGTCTGGAGCAGGAGGGTACGGTCAGGGCTCCAGCGCCATGGGAGACGTCATCTCCACGGTCTGGGCCAGCCCAGCGCCTGTCATTCCATCAGCCTGCAGTCGCTCTCGCTCCCTGCCTCCCTGCACCCTGTGCACTGTCCTAGACCATAGCCAGCCTCGCAGGAAACGATGCTTCTGCTCCCTCACTGTCCACCGGGCTCAGGACCTGCTTGGGGTTCTCCATGCTGGCCTCTTCACTCGTTCTGCACAGCAGCACACACGTGAGGTGCTAGGACCCCATTGGAGGCAAGTTTACATGCCTGCTTAGCCAGCAGCCTCTGCTAGACCCCTACGTACACCTCTGCTGGACACACCCAGCTCTCAAAAACCTTCTTGCAAATCATGCTGGCCCACACTGAACACAAGCAGCTGCCCGCCCATTCTCGGAGCCCATCAACTGCAGTGCACCGCCCGCACGACCTACCCTCAGCAGGCAAGGGCCCCCCAGGGACAAGGCAGCCTCCTGAGATACCGTCGCACTGCGTCGCGTCTCTAGTCTGTCCCTCACCAAAACCTCCCTAGCACTACCTGACAGGAAGTGGACTCCTTGAGGCAGGTCCCACTGAGACCCGCCTAAGAGCTGGTGTGACAGCTAATACATGCCCGCCGGCCTGACTGGCCCTGGGCAGGCCTCGAGGACAGCGAGGCCCTCCCGTGCATCCTCCCCAGGCAGGCTCTCCGCCTCAGTCCAGACCAGTTGGGCCTCTGTCAGCAGCAGATGCAGAGCCTACACTGCTTCACTGAGCCCCAAAACCTTCCAGAGCCACTCTGCAAGATAAATGAGAACACCGAGTACTTCCAGCTCCATGCACTGCACCAAAAGCCAACAGCCAAGGTCAAATCCCTCAGGAAGTACAGCACATGCTCCAATCGGGATCACGGATCTCCTCAGGGCACACGACCGTGAGTCTCAGCGACCACAGCGACATCCAAGCTGACGCACCAGCACCGACACCAGAGGGCTACAAGTCTGGAAGCCCACCATCCCTGCCAACTGTGTTTCTATGTGTGCACATGCGCATGTGGGCGTAGACGAGAAATGTGTGTACACACGTGTAGTGATAAAGCTGTGGAGAGACTGAGCAAAGCAGACACAGAAAGGGGAGACTGGGTTGCATTCCAAAGTCAAAGATACTCTGAAGGTCTCGGGTGAGAAACGTTCCAGGCCGAGCCCATCACAAAACCAACACATGAACACAAGGCCAGACCACGTGTACTCCAGAGGGAGAAGGGAGACAGGCGAACAGCGTCACACATAGGGGTTCCTAGCTTAAAGAGCACGTAGCTCTTTGCTGCTTATCTGGTAACCATCAGCATCTATTTGGCCTGGAGAGAGAAGCATTTAAAGCTGGTTTACCTGAGGTACGTGGGCCATGTGGGGCGGGTTGGTATAGGCTGGCTGGACGTGAGAAGGGTGGATTGTGAAGACAGTCTGTTGGGCTGCTGGGAAACTGCTCTGTGGCGACTGCGTATTGGAGGCAGGCGTTATGGCAGGGGGTGTGGGCGCGAGCCCCGCGTGGTAAATGGCTGACTGCTGCTGCGGACTGGCCAGGTGGAGAGCTTGGGCGGCCTGGTGCTGATGGTGCTGCAAGGGGAGGGCAAACAACTGAGAGCACTCTAAGGCACAGCGGTGGGTGTCGCACACGGAGGTGAGCCCCCCACGAGTGCAGGCTTGGCAGAGACCCCTCGGCAGGCACGGGCCGGGGGAGGGCCTCCTGTCTAGAGACATCTTCTGGAACACAGAAGCCTGACTGAGTCTGACAGTAACAAACCCAAACAAACAGTGGTCAACCAAAACTTCTGCCTACTGACCAATTTTTAACTGCTTTAGTTAACCAATGTAATTGAAGAAGCTAATGATGCAGGGGTGGGGGGCACAAAGTTCACTCTGAGCAGTCGACCTAGCTGCTAAGATGTCTGAGGTGGGGCCGGCTAACCCTTTACCTCCTAGTGCCAGGATCCCATTATGGATTAGGGGGCCAGTTTGTGTCCCTGCTCCACTTCCCATCCAGCTTCCTGCCTGTGGCCTGGGAAAGCAGCAGAGGACAGCCCAAAGCCTTGGGACCCTGCACCGCGTGAGGTACCCTACAGAAGATTTGGCTCTTGCCTTCAGACTGGCTCAGCTCTAGCCATTGTAGCCATTTGGAGAGTGAACCATGAGATGGGAGATTTTTGTCTCTCCTTATGTAAATCTGCCTTTCCAAGAAAAATAATCTCTTTAAAAAATGTTGGTTGAGGTGCCAGCACCTGATCCTGGCTCCAGCCCCTGGCAGTGAGCACAGGAGGTAGCAGCCATGGGGGAGGCGTCAGGTTCCTGCCACCCACACAGGCGACCCGGTCAGAGCTCCTGGCTCCCAGCTGCAACTTAGCCCTGGCCATAATGGGAGTGAACCAGCAGACAGGAACTGTTTAAGAACTTCAAGTTACAGCTGAAATGTTTGTCTGCAGAGCTTAGTCACTTTATTCTTGACCCCTATCTTCCTGTGATGACAACAGCCCTCCCTCGCCCGCCCTGGACATGCCTTCTGCCTTGGCCAGCACTGAGGAAGCCGGCCCACACAGGCCTCCG